CCATGATGAGGTTTTATATTCCCACTGATAAATGGGGCCAGATATGATGTCACAATTAGAATACTAGAATCGATGCTGTAGATTTTCGAAAACATTACCCTTTTTTTATAAAGCTAAATTGGCATGTCTATTGTATGTGATGTGTCTTTGGCTCCTTGTGTGTGGTTACTGAAACTCGGGACTGTTAAATGTTTTAAGAGAAAAAGGTGTGATCATTAGGTGAAAGACTATGTCTTGCTCTACACATCATTCAAATCCATCGGATTTTTTGTTTTTATAGTTGATCCTCTTGGTTTCTAGTGTTCCTTCCCACTTCAAGAGTCATTGTTCTAATTGTTCCAATGAAGAGGGAAACAAGAGCGGCAATTATGTGTGNAAATACTTTGTTCTTTTCTGATCAATTTGTCTTCTGTTGACTAGGCATTTATGCATCACTTTTTGAGAGGCAACATACTGGCTTGCCTTCTGTCATTGTTGTTGGTGGTGGCATATCAGGAATTGCTGCGGCGCACATGCTTCAAAATGCATCATTTAAGGTTTGATATCTAAGTCACATGTAAATGATTTCCTCAAATAGTGGTAAAAGTTTTCTGTCTGTAATTAGTCATGATTAATTTGGGCTGTATGGATCTTCTAGGTGACCCTATTGGAGTCCCAAGACAGAATTGGTGGTCGCATTCACACTGATTACTCATTTGGTTGCCCAGTAGACATGGGAGCATCATGGTAAGTTTCTTGGCCTAAGCATATTTTTCCAAATGAGATATTTATTTATTTATTTATTTTGGTGCCTTTTGTTCTCAATGTCCCAATTTATAATGATCCCACTCCATTCAAGGAAAAAAATTATATGCAACAATCTTAAATATTTCATTATTCCAACTTGCAACTGAACTGAACTTATGTTTTGGTGATAAAGTCAAGTTCTCTTGTTTGGTTAGTAGAAGTGTGGCTGATCAATAAGGAAAATGTCAAACTTTACATTATTCTAATTGGTTTTTTATGTGTTAGATACAACTGTCTGTATGATCTCATGTCTGTAGTTCTTTTTGACTTTCATTGCAACATTCAGGTTACATGGTGTCTGCAACGAGAATCCGTTGTCTCCCATTATACGTCGTTTGGGGCTCACTTTGTATCGCACAAGTGGTGATGACTCCCTTCTATATGACCATGATTTGGAAAGGTATACGGCTGTAAATTTTCTCATCTATTTGCTGTCACTCTGTGGAATATGGAGGACTCTTACTGAAAATATGTACTATATTTGGATTTTTTTT